TTCAGCATGGACGTCTCGATGGCGTTGGACATCTCGATGGCGTCCCGGGACTTTTCCTGGCAGGTGTCCTTTTTACACCTCTTTCTAGTTGAAGAGGCCTGTCCCTGGGCACCTCCGACAGGTTGCACTTGGGTTTCGTCTCACGCTGAGCTGTCGAGTCGATCTCTTCTGTTGGGATCAAGACCGCTCCTTAACGTGTCCTGAAACAGGAGTGTCCGTGACAATAGTCTGTGTACGCTTTGAAAGTAAAGTAAGCCCCCGTCGCGCAAGAATGACAAAACTCGTTGTCATCATTTTGTGTCCTGCTTCATAGAAGTAGTTGTAAGTTTCGGGTTGGCTCTTAGGGTCGCAGTTGATGGCGTAAGAATCGGGCAGTCTTGAATCCCCGGCACCAAAGTGGCTTATGTCACACGGACAGTCAGAAGAGTGACGTCCAGTGCAGGTCATACTCTGCCATACCTTTTCTTCTTCTTTCAGGATTGGCCATGCTAACTTATAAAGGCTTTATTTTTCAATTACAAAAATGACTCATTATCCTATTAAAAAAATATCAAGACACAAAGCATATCCTCCCACCACCTCCACTGACTCGTACTCCCCAGCGGCGCAGTCCTGTTAACACCGCAGAAAGCAGACTTTCAGTGTGCTGAGCAATAAGAAGCGAGATGAGCTTGCATTCTGAGAACATGGGGAATACTCGCCAGGGACTAAGGATGCGAGAGCTTCACTGTTGTGCTCAGATCGATGGTTAGAATGTAGATTGTTTTGAAAAATGAAATTGTAAAAGCCAGCCAAACAGGCTTTTAAAAAGCAAAGAGAGCTCATGAGATTATAATCACAAACATTTTTATTAGCCATAAACGAAAGTAGTACAGGAACACCTTAGCTCTCAGGAACCTTGGAAGAATTGACATAATTTTCAGAAAGTTGTGATTTTCCTGCCTTTCAGAGGAATTTTAGATAGAAATTTTATGAAAAAAAGATTTTACTCTGTTCTTCCTTCTTAATTATAATAGTTTTAGTGTTTTGGCGACAACTGAGTCTTCATTCTGGATGTCAGTTACTGTCACGTGTTGTAAAAGTATTCAGCGCTTTCAGAGCCTCTTGATGTGTGTAAGACTTTGACACCGCCCTAAGTGACCCCAGCATCTGTTCGAGTTTCAACGCCCCTGTGTCAACGTTTGATACAGTCACATCTGTGCCAGCCACTTACCAGCATGGAGGCTGCCAGCAGGGCATTTTAGCTCTCAGGGTCTGTGTCCGGCTGTGCCTGCCTGGCACTGTCCTTATAAGGTTTCACGAGGAAGCGTGCTTGCAGGGTTCACCTGTCACTTCTTAGAAGCCATGCTGAGAGGAAGTCCCGAGGGGTGTCAGGGTGGCCCTTAGGGGTGAACACGGGCTTCTTAGTTCTCTGCAGTGCCAAGAAAGCGAGAATGCCCGAAAGTTCCAAATACACACGCTGTGACTGCAAAACGAGCTCGTGTGAGGAGATCCTGACAAACTGGAGGACGTGCAAAGGGGGTAGAAGTGAGTGACTATCGAAGCTCGTCAAGGTGGCATTTGAGCAAATGAAAGCTTTTCATTGAAAACGGCTGGATGTTCAAATGCTGACACCAAGACGTCGTAGTGACTGGTGCTCGTTTAAAGTGAACGGTCGCTGAGTTCTCACAATGTTTATGAATCGGATTTGGTCCCCCTGGTCCCCTGAGTACCTGGAGGCAGTGTCTCCTAATCCCCTCCCCCGGGTCCCCGCACACAGTGCAGGAACTGTGGACACGAGTTTCCCGCCAAGCGTCTCTGGTCAGCTTCGGGCATTAGGGGAGAGAGAGAACTGGCGGCCTGACTACCTGGCACCTGCCTCAAAAAGCGTCTAGTTGGGGAAAGGATAGCTGGCTTCTCCTGTCTGCTTCTGCATTCAGTCTGCTGCCGTATGTTTTGGCTGAAGTCTAGGCAGACGTGGCTGGGAAGAGGAGGGTTTGAATCGCCTTTTCAGATTGTTGGGGACGTTTTCTTTGATATTACACCAAAACAACAAATGGGTAGCTTCTCGAAGGGATCTGCAGCGTGGAATCCGGACCGTGTCCGTAAGCTATTGGTACGTTTCATTACATTGAAACCCAGAGGACTTCAGGTTGCTCTTTCGCACGTGAACGATAGTGTAACACCATTTATTGATCGCTCGGAAAACACTGGTCACTGAGTTCTGCAGATCTTCCAATAAGACGTTTTACAAGTCGCGGACATATTTCAGTATGTCTATCAAGAAACCCTGTCGTCAGACTCACCCTGACCGCTCCCTCACTGTGGGGAAGCTGTCAGGCTCACACTGGCAGATACAGTTTTCCGAGCTTCCGGGAATTCTGGGAAGTCACGCAGAGCGCCGTGACTTTCCAGCCCTACATCGACCCTGTAAACCTGTTTCTTAATCTTGTAGTATCATCACAAAGATGACACGCAAAATAATGTGTAAATATGTATAAAGCTTTTAGTATGGTACCTGGCCCAGGTAAGCACTCAGTGAATAATAGTGATCGTTAATTATTTGTGCTTTTCTGTGTTGATGACCCCAACCCAGAAAGAAAGATGCTTTGTGGAGCCTCAAGGTGGAGACTCCCACTGGGTGTCTGCAGCAGCCCATTTTGGCAGGCTCAGACTTCCGCTGACTGCAGGCCCGAGGGTTCGTCCTTCCGGTGACGCTTGCTCACCTCGCCTGTACCTGCCTTCTCAGCTGTCACGTTGGTGTGAGTGTGCTTGCCCCTCAGCACGGGCGGGGGCCTGTGGTTTGCCTCCTGCTCCGTCGCCCACACGGTGCTGGTGCGTGACAACTGGCACTCAGACGATACCTGTTGAATGAATGCATTTAGAGGGGATTTCTTTCAAACTGGACTCTTGACCTGGCTTCAGAGTATGGAAGCTTTATCATGCGAAGCATGCGATCGGTGGCGACTACTGTTTTTTTCTTTTCATTTTCTTTCAGGAATGTTTAACCTCTGTTCACTCCTACCCCATGTCTTTTTTTCTCGAATGATCTATTAATTTAAAATAAGAATAGAGGGCTTTAAGGTGTTTCATGGGAATTTGGGGCTCAGCATTTTTGCGATCACTGTGCTTTGCTCTCTGCTTTTCAGATGTTCCTCCTGCCGATCAAGAGAAGCTTTTTATCCAGAAGTTACGTCAGTGTTGTGTCCTCTTTGACTTTGTTTCCGACCCACTAAGTGACCTAAAGTGGAAGGAAGTAAAACGAGCTGCTTTAAGTGAGATGGTAGAATACATCACCCATAATCGGAATGTGATCACAGAGCCGATTTACCCGGAAGTAGTCCACATGGTGAGTGAGCACCGCGTGCCCCGCGTGTCCCACCCGAGTTACAGCCAGCGCCCTGATGCTCTTAGAATAAGCGGAGACATCTGAAAAAAGCTTCCCATGAAAGAAGTTCCTGTTGCGAAATTTGTACTTGCACCTTAAAGAATGTAACAGTTATGGAAGTCTTTGTCATGTGTCCTGGATTATAGTGACGATAGGGAGAGAAATCATGGCCTTCTAGGGACCAGCTGAAGTGTTAACTCATTTGATCTTTACAACTACCCGATGGGGTAGAAATGTTAGAACTTTTATTTGTACTTATTATCTTATTCTCTTTAAATTTGGGTTTTTTTGTAACATATATAGTGGTATAATAATGCCTGTACGTAATATAGAAATGAACACGTTGTCCATGCATGTAGAGGAAGATGCCAGTTATAGGGTGGAGTGGAAATAGTGATGGGATCAAGCCAGTGTGAGGACAATACATCCTGATTGGCTGAGCCGGCCTCCACCTGTCAGTGGGAGGCAGGACGGTCCCTCCTGATTGGCTGAGCCGGCCTCCACCTGTCAGTGGGAGGCAGGACGGTCCCTCCTGATTGGCTGAGCCGGCCTCCACCTGTCAGCGGGAGGCGGGACGGTCCATCCTGATTGGCTGAGCTGGCCTCCACCTGTCAGCAGGAGGCAGGACGGTCCCTCCTGATTGGCTGAGCCGGCCTCCACCGGTCAGTGCCAGTGTCAGGACACACCCACTCCATCACCCTTCAGTTAGCTCATTGTTAGTTTCATTCAGCCCCCAGATTTTAGCCTCCTTCGATCTCATACTTCACAGCCTGTTTCCAGGTCCTTCGCATGGTCTCACTGTGACCTGGAAACAGGTGATGCCTGAAGCATTACTAAAACTCTTACTCTTTGACACTGAACTCCAGTTTTCTGTTGAGTTTTTTTGAATTGTTGACATTTTATCTGCCTTCAAAATTAGTACTCCTTCGTTACTAGGGAGCCCGTGTTGCTTAATATAAAATGTTAAATCCTGATTTTCATTGACTCCTTAAGTTCCTGTTTTTTTCCCCAGACCTATGTATTTCAGAACTGGCTAGACTTGACCTAAAATATGTTTATTTCTCACTTTAGCATGTTTGTTTTGGAAAAAGAAGATGAAAGTCATATTCTTTTTGCAACTCACAATCTGTTGTGTCAGGAGTTGAGATCGACTTGATTATTTTATCATTGTTAACTCTGAAGTTTAGCGTTTACCAGTGTGTGCCGTCCTAGGGCGGTGAGGACCGTTCAGGTTCCTCCCCCAAACTCACACCTGAAGAACAGTCACAGGCCACACGCTCACTGAGCAGTGACAACACTGAAACCCCACCCTTTCTAACCAAGGAAAATGGAGAAATATCTTTTTTCTCGTCTTAATTTCAACTTTCAGTCACGTTGGAAGGCCTCCCGAACCCCCGAGTCACAAAGAAAAATCTCCAATATTTTATCCTAATACATTCATAACTTTTTGTTCACAGTACACTTTATAATTCTTCTGGAACTTTTTTTATGATGCAGGGTAGGGACATAACTTTATGGCCTTCCAAAATGATTAAAAAGTCATTTGTCCCTATCTCATATATTGAGTATTCTGTTTTCCCCATTGACTTTAAATGCTTTTTATGATATATTAATTTTTTTTTTAATTAAATTAATATTATTAAACTTATAAGCACGTAAATTTATTCTATATTAAATCACATGTACGGAAGGTTTCTCTGTTTTTAAGGAGCCTTGGCTGTCAGCCGCCCCCGAGTCCCACTCTTAGCCCGAGAGGGAAGTTTGCAGACGAGACTTCGGCCGGCCTGCTTTAGACCAGGTGCCTGCCCTTGACGTGGGTGTGTGCCTGCCTGCCCACATCAGGCTCTCGCTTGCCTTTCATGGTAGCATGTGCATTGCTAGAACCACTCGGGGGACCTAAAGCCCTTAAGACATTTTTAGATTAAATAATCATTCCTGTCAAAATCGCGACCTCCCTAAACTCCCTCGCTGTCCTAACCTTGTCCCCACCCTGAAACTCCGGCCCATCTCCGGTGCTGGACGCTGTGGCCTCTGGTCCAGAGCACCTGGCAGATGGGCCCTGGGCGCCCGCCAAGGGGAGCCAGGCGCTTTCTCGGGGGAGGAGCTAGAGCGCCACCCGGATGCCCGCCCTCCCACAGCTTTCCTGCCGTGGAGGACAGGCATCGAGTAATGCGACCACTGTATGTCACTGGGTCAGGGTGACTCTGGGAAGGGAAGCACACCGCGGCGGTGGACACAGGTGCAGGACGGCCGGGTGCCCACGTGGAGGAGGGAAGGTGCCGAGGGTGGCCTAGTGCGTGACGGATTCGATCGTCCCAGGAAGACGCGTGTGTGTGAGGGGCTTTCTGTGTCACGGGAGAGCGGAGGACAGTTCATTGTCTTCCGACTGGAGGGCGGGGGTGCAGGAGAGAGCACAGCTTTCCCCTTACCTCGGGGGCTTCAGGAACTCTCCGGGGAATGAGGGCGGGGCAGATAGGACATGGGGCTTCGCTGGCTCTTGTTTTGTTCTGTAGATGAGGGCATTGGTGACAGGTATCTTGGAGGAAGAAAGCGTCTGGTGGGGGTGGTGCCTGGCAGTGCTTCTGACCATAGCAGGCGTAGAGAGTGGCTGCAGAACTCTAGCATCCGATAGGAGGCCACCACCCCAGCAGCGCCTGGACCCAGAGTGGCAGGTGGAAGAGAGGCGGGCCCTTCGTGGCTCCATCCACATGCCCGTTGTGCTTGCCACCGAAGCAGCACCTCGCCGCTGGCTTGAGGGACCGCCGCACGTGTGTCTGTCATGTGTGCATGCGTCTGTGTATTGTTTTGTCAGTATTTTTAGAAACATTAATTTTCATTTACTTCGAAGAATCCAAAGCTTTAAAGAATTATGCTCCTTGTGCTTCTTTTAACTGTATTGCTTATTAGACTGGACCACTTTATGGTTTAACATGTGTTGAGAGAGAATCCACATACCATATAATTCACTTATTTAAAATGTACAATTCAGTCGTTTTTAATATGTTCCCAAGATTATGCAGCTATTGTCACATCTAATTTTATAACATTTTCATCCCCCTACGAGAGACCCCATGCCCATCCACAGTCACTGCCATCCCTCCTTCACCCGCCCCCAGCCCCGGGCAGCCACCAGTGTCCTTCTGTCTCCATGCATTTGCCCACACGGGACAGTTTCTTTAAAGGGGATTGTAGAGTATGTGGCCTTCCTTCACTTGGCATAATGTTTTATCCATGTCATGGCATGTGTCAGAGCTTCTTTGTATTGGGGAATAACGCTCCACTGTACGGTTACACACCACGTTTGATTTATCCATTCATTCGTTGGTGGACGTTTGAGGTGTTTCCGCTGCTTGGCAGTTCTGTCGTGCTGCTGCGAGCATGCGTGAACCAGCTGTGTGTGCACACGTGTTTCCAGTTCTGTCGAGTGTTGACCCGGGAGTGGAACGGCTAGTTCCATGGTAACGCTGTGTTTAATGTTCGAGGACCTGCCAGACTGTTTGCCAGCGGCTGCGCTGTCTTACATTCCTGCCCCGGGGTTACGAGGGTTCCAGTGTCTCCTCATCCTCCCCAACACGCGCGATCGTCTTTCTGATGACAGCCATTCTCGGGGGTGCGCAGTGGCGTCTCGCTGTGCGTTTTGATGCATTATAGACTTTAGTGCTAGAATTTAACAGAACCTTCCAGATCACCTGGCTTGCCCCTTTTATCTTCCACATTCAGAGTCAGGAGATGAGGATGAGCCCGGGCATCGGTGCGCCGGGGCCGCAGCCCCTGGCATCTGTGTTCTCAGCCCTGATTACGTAAACTCCATTATCTCTTAATTCCAGTCATTTTAAAAATATAACCAGCCATCTGTTTTTTTCAATTAAATTATCTAGTTAATCCGTTTTTCAGGCAATGGTATTTTTCTCATAGTTAAAACACTAATAGCAAAACCACGGTGCCACTTTTTTCACAGACTAGCAGTTTTACTTGAAGAATGACTGACGGACACATTGGTTGTTCAGACTTGAATATTTAGCAAGCATTTCTCAAAAAATGAATAAAATGAGAATGTCACTTTAAGGACAATAATTGACAGTATTTGTTGCCAGTGATGAAATTCAAGCTTTCAGGTGAAAATCCGAATTTTGGGAAAGTTGTGTCGGCCAGTGCGAGCTTCCCGGGGCCACAGCCTCTGCTGCTGAGAGCGGTGACGACATGAATGAATGGGGTCTTTAATACATGTGACGAAATGAGTCCCCACTGGAAGTGCTACATAATCCAGTGACCATCATTTTCCAGATGAGCAGTAGATGAGTTACAAAATCATCCGTGGGCCAGAGAGCCACGCAGGCGAGCGACACCGCGCTGGCCTTCAACGTGGCGGAGAGGGGCCGCTGACGAGGCCAGAGACCCCACACGCCAGCGCGCCTCTCCTAAACTGCTGCTGGTCTAGTTTTGGGGTGACATCCAAGAGGTCCGCAGTGACCCGAAAGGGCTCTTACTTACCTACCCGCCCTTCCACCCTGTCTGCGGGAGACAGATTCTTCTTCCCAGATTTCAGCCAAACCAACCTTCTGAACATAAAAGCAGACGTGGGAAGCCAGCTGTTTCCTATGAAGCCAGACGTTCAAGAGATTTGCGAAAATGTAAAAAACGCCACGCTTCTCACCGAGTCTGTTTTCATTTTGGGAAATATTTTTATTTAATATGAGCTCTTTTATGAAGTAACGAATATTAGTTATTTTTTATAAAAATATGTTATGTATTTTAAGACACAGTAGGCTTATTATTTTCTAATGAATTCGTGCTTTTTAAATGTCTCTTTGGGGCCCTCAGGAATTCTCAGGGGTTTAAGGGTCCTCGGACCAACAAGGCTGAGACCCTGTCTCCCGAAGGAGCGCTGCCCGGGGCCCAGCCTCGCCGGCACCCGGCAGAGGAGCACGTCCTGGGCCTCAGCGCCGCTTCCCTGTTCCCTG